CAAAAGGCCAGCATACTCATCAGCTTAGAAAAATTTGACGAGGCTTTGGATGTCCTAGAGGAGCTGAAAGAGTGTGCTCCTCGTGAAAGTAGTGTCTATGCTTTGATGGGCAATATCTATAGAAGGCGTAACATGCATGAAAGAGCAATGTTTCATTATGGTGTTGCTTTGGATTTGAAACCATCTGCAACAGATGCTGCTGTCATTAAGGTGAACTTGCCTTGTAACAGAGTTACAACAATCCTTTACTACTAAATGCGTTTACAATTTTTATAAATAACTCATCTTCTGCCCTCGGATTAGTTTGCTGAATGTTTAGTTAATTTGTAAAGTAAATGACCAATTTACTTCCTGAAATTGTATTTCACTATTATTTAGTCTATGAAACTAAGCAAAAGTCAAAATTAATCTTGTTTATCATTTTGGTTCTTAGTATGTTCAGGGACTAACATAAAAAAAAAAAAAAATTAATTTTAGAGACTTAAAATTTTAGAGACTAATATATAGGAGATACGATTTCAGGAAATAAGTGTTGACCATTTACTGTTAATTTGTATGATCATAGTTGTACATGGAACATACATTGGCTGTTGTCATTATTTATTCTTTTTGAAACAGGCTGCTGTTGAGAAGTTGCATATACCCGATGAGTTCGAAGACGGTTTGTAGCTCTACCTTTAAAGTGCGAGATACAAGATTGAAGCGGCATGAATGCTCAAGTATTCATCCAAACAGTCATCATTCCATCTAATTTTCGGAACTTTTAAACTGCATACAGTTTTGTAGGAAAGTCGAATAGGATTAGAGATATGATGTATCAGAAGTACCAAGAAGCTCCTATACTTGTACAAATAGTTGCATTAGGGAAGATAGGTGTACCATTAGTTTATCCATCCATTTTGTTTATAAATCAACTCTTTAGTCTCATCGCTGGTTTAAATTATTAGAAGCGTCAAATGTCTCATTTTGAATTCAATTTATGATGAGAAATGTTAATAACACGACACACTCTTTGGCTGGTTAAGATTTATTGAAAAATATAAAATTTATTCAATTATGCAGATCACATAAATAGCCTTTCGGCTCCACCTAGGGATAGTAAATATTCTAATTTACAGAAAAAAAAAGTGTCACCTACAATCGAGGATATTATTTTCTTAATTATAATTATACAATTAATCAGGATATGTGCTCTGCTAATTTATGAAACAAATTCTATCTTGGCTTGTTATCCAAAACTCTTTCACAAGTTGGATTTTAGATGTCTAATACTTAATTTGCAGCCTAAGTTCTTAAGTTTTCATATTGGGCTTTTAACTGTGCCTTGATTAGAATGTGAAGTTTAGGGGCTTGACCTGTGTTTCAACATTACTATTTCACCATCCACATTTTACATGATAAAGTGATGGTGGATTTCTAAATGTTTGGTTTTATACAGACAATAGTATTGTGTGAAGATTCTGGTTTTAGCTCAATAGTAGAAGTACTGATCACGGATCTTCTTCATTAGTTTAAGTGCATTTTTATGGAAGTTTAAGTTAATTATGCTCTATAGATAGAAACTTATATTAACAATTATTATTAACTGAGTTGTTCAATTATAATAACAAAAATCTGATAGTTGAGTGATAGTTTACTGAGAGAGAAACTTCTAAGTTTCAATATCAATTCACAGAGACTTTTTTCTAAAATGTAGTTTGAAGTTCGTTAACACTTCAACCAAACTATGTTACTTCTATGCGTTGTTCTTTCTTATTTTTACATTTATCTTTTCATTGTTTCCTTTGGATATTTTTGTTTTTGCCGCTTATCATTTGATTTTATCATAAAAATTCTTGGATATTTTGATACTATCCAGAGTTATAACAAAGGCCTTATATTCCTGTCCTCAAAAGACAGTTTCCAATTGGGTACAGAGTGAGTCTTCACCTCTTTATTAGAGGATTTCTTCCTATACCTTCATGTTTTCTTCCTGCACCTCTATATTAATAGTGAAATAACTAGTTCCCCTTATTAAACAATTGTGTACTCTGATGTTACTTTCAAATTTGTACTACAAATTTTACAATCCAAAATATAATTTATCTATAATTTATCTTCCATGTATTATGGATGGTCCAATCTAGAATATAAATTTAAATTACAAATTATATTCTAAATTTATATTATGAATTATATAATTTATAATATAAATTTATATTACGAATTGTACAATTTAGAATATAATTTGTATTCCAAATTATATTCTAAATTTACATTATGAATTATATCATCTAGAATGTAAATTTGCATTACGAATAAACATATTAAAAAATATATCATTAACTTGTTATGTAAGAGTAATTCATGGACATACTTTTTAAAAACTTCATGTACAAACTTTCTTTAGGTTCATGTCACCAAATATCGTAATCTATATGATTAAATCTTCAAAAGAACATAAGAAATCTTCTTTCATATGAGTTATACACTAATACCACAACTCTTGAAACCATATATCCTCACTATGCACTTATAAAGGACTATAACATATCCACAAAGAGCAATAGTACAAAGAGCAATAGTACAAAGGATCACAACACAAGGCAAACATATCTATAATGGGCTACACTATTGAAACATATCATACAATATCACATGCAATATAATTACACATGCATGCATCTCTAAATAGAACAATTGGTATGAATTGTCCCTCATCAAACATTTATCTACCGCTTGATGGACATTGCTTGAACATCATTTTAATGCTTGAATTACACTAGTTGTATCACCCAACAAGTTCTAAAATTACTAATTTCACTAATTCATCAATACTTAAGTGACATTGAACATCCGTATAACACTTGAATGTATCATATAATAATGGGGTTAAATATGCTTTTAGTCCCTCAACTACCAAGCGTTTTTGGGTTTAGTTCCTCTTCCAAACTTTGCTTCATTTTCATCCTTCTCTTTAATGAAACTATAATATTTAGTCCTCGAAAACCAACAGTGTTAAATTTTCAATGAGCTGACTAATGTTGTGTCACGTTTCATGCCATGTGTACATTTAGAAATTGAAATTCTGAAATTGAAAGTTTCCTCCCTTGACCACCCTCTTGTCCTCCTCCACCACCAACCGCAAACCGTGACAGAACCCAATGTAGCAACCCTAAATCGCGCTCCAGAGAAGAAACCCATCCCGCAAATCGCAGCGCTATTGCAAGCTTCGTCTTCCTAGAAACTCTTTGCACACCATGACATCTTCTCCTTTGCGCAACCATCATGAAGCCTTCATTCAACCCCAATTTGCGAACCCTAACAGTATAGGGACAATCTCCATATCGCTTCTCATAGCAACCTGCAAACAAATCAAATCCAGAAACTCAAACAACACCGTTGCAATCGCACAACCAAGACTCAGTGCGATGTATCAACCATATTCATCTTCCTCACCATAAGCCTCAAACCAAGTTCGTTCCCCCTCCTTCATCTCACCCAGAAAAGAAAACCAAACAACAGAGAAATCCACAATTCACGAAACCGAGAATTGCGCCACCACTAATCTCCATCGCGAAGCCCTTTGTCTTCCATCCTTTTTCACACCTTCAGGAGCCTCCAACCTGCAATCAGAAAACAAAAACTATGTCGCGAAACCTTGCCTTCACCAGAATAATCACGCCACTGTTATTAGTTCACGCAAGCCTCAACTGGAACCAATGCCTCCATGTTCTTGCGTGACGACACAACCCCCTCAACAACTTTCTAGAAACCCTAATTTTTGGAAACCCTAAACCCTATGTTGAAGAAGTCTAATTCCTACAACAAAGAAAGGTTTCGTTTTTACTTTGTTTTAGTTTTATTTAATTATGATTAATCAACTTATTTGGTTATTATTGTTGTTTGCAGAAGTAGGCTTGTGATAGAGGAGGTGAAGGCAAAAGTGGTGGTGGAGGAGAAAAGAGTGGTGAAGGGAGGAAACTTTCAATTTCAGAATTTCAATTTCTAAGTGTACACATGGCATGAAACGTGACACACCGTTAGTCAGCTCATTGAAAATTTAACATTTAACGTCGTTGGTTTTCGATGACTAAATATTACAATTTCATTAAGGAGAAGAATGAAAATGAAGCAAAGTTTGGAAGAGGAACTAAACCCAAAAACACTTGATAGTTGAGGGACTAAAAACATATTTAACCCTATAAAAATGACTCACTTCTTAAGAATGGTTGGAAAAATATTCCATAACTTAAACAATAATATTCAAGAATGAAACATAAATATAATATATTAATGTTTTAACTAAAAAAATTTTAAAAGCACTAATTTTTACTTACAACCATTTTTACCATCATCCATAAATCTCACTTGAATATATTCATTTTCTCAATAATGTATGCATAGATGTACAATCTATTTTCAATACCTCTAGTACTTTTTCACATATATAAACAAAATCTTATTTGAATAAAATATAATTTATTCTCTTTACTTTAAGATAGTGTAATTTCTCTTTTCACTTTGATAATCCAATCAAGCCTTTTACATCAAATATCAAACTCTATACCAATAATATATTCTCTTAACAAAATACTTAAAGGTTAAATCATTCTCGAGGTCCCAATTTTTTGTTTGAAATCTTAAATCAACCTTATTTTTGTTCACAAGTGAGTCCTTACTTGTGAAAAAAGATGCAATTGGACCTCTACTGTTAAATTGACTGAACAATATTAAAGATACGTTTTAAACAACGAGGCGAAGTGAGGTTGTATAATACGTTGAGGTGGGGCACTGACATGGATCTTCATATTTTAAACATAAAAAAAATAGTAAAATTTAATTAAAATTATTTGTTCAAGTAAATTAGGGATGTTTTAATTGAAGTTCCATGGTACAAAATTAAGGTTTAGTGATACGATTTAGGGTTGTTTCATGCAAATTGGGGATTGATTGAGTAAAATTAGTTGTCGATAACATAAATTAGAGTTTTGTTGGAGGTATTTGTCGTCATCTTTCAGATGTTCTTGGTTGGAATTGTGAGGTGGTTGGAGACGAATCACGTCGAAGGTGAGTAAATGTTGTATTGTAGTTTTCAGTTTATTCTTCGATGGCTTTTGTCATGAGGGAGAAGGTTTCATACCTTATTACTTTAGGAAGTCAACATATGAAGAAATTTACTCATCAATTATCTATCCTATCAAGAATAACATGTGGGACATTACCATATATCCTGATGTGTTGCCTCCTGCAAAATGAATATTGTCATAAGAAGAAAAGAAGGTTAAAGCAGTGAGAGATGACAAAGGATGAAACAAGAATGATAAAAGGTTGCCTACAAAAAATATATATGTGGGCTATGTAGGGTAGCGGGTCACAACAGAAGTTGTTGCCCCAAAGGAACCCAACAACATGTTATGCACTCCGAGGAAGCACAATATCCTACCCCATCATCTGAAGCAGTTATACCATCAAGACATTAGGGTGAAGGTCAAGCCTAAGAGGGAACGAATTTCAAAAACATGATATTTTTTGAAGTTGAACGTTATCTTAATACTTTTGTAATGGTTGTCTGAACAATTATAATGGTTATCTGAATAATATGTACACTTTGATAAGGTTATTCTGTAATAATTCGGTATTGTACAAAACTTATGTGGTGGATCGAACCTTTTGTTATATATGTTATCATTTTATTCTGTAATACCATTTTCATTATATGATTTTCATTACACTTATTATGCTATTCTGTAATATCATTTTCATTATACAATTCTCATTAAACCATTTTTATTAAACCATTTTCATTATACCATTTCATTATACCATTTCATTACACCATTTTCATTCAACCATTTTCATTCAACCATTCTCATTATACCATTCTCAATGTTTTTTTAATGTACAAACAATTATAAATTTCTGGAAGTCTTCAATTCATTGAACAACATTATATTCAAGAACACACCA